TGATATAATTTGAGATGGGTATGGACAATTGGATTGGGCAATAAGACACTTGGGTTGAACCACATTAAAAGATTGAATCCAATCGATTAGTTAGTCCAACTCAAGAGCTTATATACCGGTTATTTTACTCTTGAACTTCCGATGTGGGATGCACTCTAACAAGAGTACAATTGTTTGTACTTCTTGATTAGTATAACTAGTTTTTACCACGTACTTGGTAGAGGCCTGCATATTTTTATATATAAGATATTATCTATAAAATTGTTATTGTTATATTAAAAAATAAAAGTAGAATAAATAGGTGAATTACTATTAAAGTTGTTCTATCACATTGTGTATTTATAGAATACAAAAAATTTATAAACACGCGTACATATGAAAGATAATACAGTAACTATTTGTCGAGTATAGTAATGTCATGGAAACTTCGGTGTTGTAAATAACTTAGACATTTCATTTTGGAGATATAGTGGCATGCATGGGAAAGATGTGTTTATTAATTTCTTCAATGACTTTTATTATTTGACACTTGACTAATCAAATTTATAACTAGTTTTTTATCTTATGATTCGTATTGAGAATTATTTTCGTAGCATGACTGCATGTGAAATTTTATTTGTATGAGCAAAAGACTCACACATCGTTTCATTATGTTCAAAACCAACCAAAAACTGGTGTCACTACAAAAAAAAGCGGCTTTTGCCACACTTAAACTTGCTATTTGCAACACATATAAGTGCGGGAAAGAGTGTTCGCCACACATATGCTAAGTGTGGCGGCGAGAAATGTGGGAAAAATTTTACCACACATAAAATAAGTGTGGCAAATTACTTACATTAAGCACACTTACAAGTGTTGTTAATCTTTTCGTTTGCCACCTTTGTAAGTGTTGCCAATGCACCGCACATGTAAATGCGGCAATTTTTAATTGTTTGGAAAAAAATATAAATACAATATGCACATAAATATGTGTGGCTAATCACAACTGCATAACTAACTTTTAAAAATCATATATATATATATATATATATATATATATATATATATATATATATATATATATATATATATAAAGGATACAAAAGTTTAAAGTAACTCAATTTGAAAATCATGGAAATACAAAACCTAAGCCATCATCAAATTATAGTTCCATAGGCAGTATCAAAAATCTAGGTGTCAAAATAAATAGTGAGTTCCAACATCAATTGATCCTCTAATAATGACTTCCAAAAAAAATAAAAAAGAAATGCAATAGTCATTATATTGTTATATGATATGCTCTCTAACAATAGTGTCTTCATTAAATTCCCACAAGCCCTGCCAAGTCAGCCATGCCATGCCAAATCAATTTATCTTTGTTAAAGGAAAGAGAATATTCGTATATATTTTGGTATATGTTGTTTTTGGTAGCTTCCTTGTATAGGGTTGATTTCATTTCCTTTTGTGATTAGGTTTCTCAACCTGTGAGAGCATATATATACATGTCTACTTTGTAAATTGAACACAAGAAATACAGAGAGAATTTCCTCCCAATTCATTATTCTTTCATGGTATCAGAGTCAAAATCCTAGAAATTTTCTGCGACTACTGTTCACGATCGCTCGACATGGCGTCATCGATCGTTGCTCAGTTTTAGTCGATTGTTGCTGTTGCCGGATAACGGAATGGTCGACCGTTGCTCTAGAACGGTCGAGCACATCGATCGTCCCGTCGGCAGATTGTTTGATTGATGCTACTGTTGATTCTTCCGCCACCTCCGTACGCCACTCTGCTACCGCCATGATCGATGAACAACCAAGGAAGATGTTTTTCTCTCTATCATTCTTTTTCAGGTATTCCTGTGTCATCGCGTTGGATTATAGATACTGGGGCATCAAATCATATGACTGGTGATATTTCGTTATTGCATGATGTCGTGGGAATATCACCATGTGAGATTGGTTTGCCTAACGGGAAAAGAATTGTTTCGGTACAATCTGGGAAGATTAAATTAACAGAAACATTAATTCTGCACGATGTCCTATATGTTCCCACTTTGAGTTGCCATTTAATCTCTGTGTCACAATTGACAAGGGATTCGAATTGTGAGGCACGTTTTTTCAACAATAAGTGTATATTACAGGATTTGTGTTTGAAGACAGAAATTGGTATGGGTGAGCAGGAAGGAGGACTTTATTACTTTAAGGAGTCTGAAAAGAAGATGGTGTGCAGTGCGAAGAAGGAGAGTAAGTTTGATCTTTGGAACAAACGACTTGGACATCCTTCCTCTCAAGTTTTGTCTCTTGTCCCTGAAGTTGGAACAAGAGTAGTCACAGTTGTTGTGACATTTGTTTGCGTGCTAAACAGACTCGTGGGAGTTTTTCTATAAGTTTTTATCAATCTGTTGATAAATTTGATATGATACACTGTGATTTATGGGGACCATATAGGACTCCAAGTTTTGATGGTTCTACAATGTTCTTGACCATTGTGGATGATTTTTCAAGAGGTGTTTGGGTGCATTTGTTTGATTCCAAACGCAAGGTTGGCACTGTTTTTAAACAATTCTGTGCTATGATAGAACGACAATTTGGGAAGAAAATAAAGTGTGTTCGCAGTGATAATGGCACAGAATTTGAATGTCTAAACAAATATTTCTGAGAGCAAGGAATTATTCATGAGACATCTTGTGTGTCTACTCCACAAGAGAATGGGAGAGTAGAACGCAAGCACCAACACATTTTGAATGTGGGTCGGGCTTTGAGGTTTCAGGCTGGTCTTCCGATTGAGTTCTGGGGAGAGTGTATACAGACTGCCGCACATCTAATCAATCGCACACCTTCGCCTTTGCAAGGGGTCACACCATACGAGAAGATCTATGAAAAGCCACTCTCTTTGGTTCATATTCGTGTTTGTGGATGCAGATGTTATGCTCATAACTTGAAAAGAAATGGTGATAAATTTGCACCAAGAAGCAATCCTGGAGTATTTGTTGGATATCCACAAGGGAAGAAGGGATGGCGTATTTACTACCCGGACACTGGAGAAATCAAAGTGTCCCGAGATTTTTTGTGTTTTGTGAAGATATTTTCTCTTTCTTGACTCCTACAGGTGCATATATTGATACAAGAAGTACAAATGAGATTAGATCTTATGATGAAGATGAAGAACTGCGGACGGAAGAACAGATGGACCGTTCCAAGAGGGACGGTCGAACGGAGGAAAGCGGCAGAGCAGACCGGCTACAGACAGTCGACCTGATGGACCGTTCCGATGTCCACGGTCGACCTTCCGAGAGGCAGAATGACAGTTCTTTGGGAGATGATCAAACGGTCGACCGTGATGAGGAAGACGGTCGACCGTCTCCGAGGCAGAAAGTTAGCGATCCGGAACAGCTTCAGACGGTCGACCCCGTGGACCGTTCCACGGACGACGGTCGACCATCCCCTTCCCAGCCAACGGTGAAGAACTTGGGACGTGGCCAGCGTGAGAAACGTCCAAATGTACGCCTTTCCGATTATGTTACCCATGTGGTTGGACCATATGTCGGGGAGAAATGCAAATATCCTCTCTCGTCGTATGTCACATATGAGAAGTTTTCTCAGAAACATAAATGTTTTCTCACAGCTCCTGATGCAGAAGTGGAGCCCAAGGGTTACAAGCAAGCATTCCAGGATGAGCGATGGAGGAAGGCTATGCGAGAAGAAATTGATGCTCTAGAAGCAAATGGCACTTGGAATCTTGTCCGTCCCCCTCATCATAAAAAGCCCCTTGGATGCGAATGGGTGTATAAGATCAAACGCAAGTCTGATGGCAGTGTGGAGAGATATAAGGCCAGGCTTGTGGTCCATGGTAATCATCAGGTTGAAAGGCTTGACTACAAAGAAACATTTGCTCCTGTAGTCAAGTTGACCACAGTACGAACGCTTTTAGCTGTCGCAGCAGTCAAGGGATGGAAGCTGCATCAGATGGACGTCCATAATGCTTTCTTACATGGCGATCTACAGGATGAGGTATATATGAGATTGCCACCAGGATTCTCAAGTTCTTCTAATGTGGTGTGCAAACTCAAGAAATCACTTTATAGTTTAAAACAAGCTCCTAGATGTTGGTTTGCAAAGTTGTCTAGGGCTTTGAAGCGCTATGGATTTGTCCGGTCTATCTCTGATTACTCCTTGTTTTCGTTCGTTGGGAGGAAATGAGTAATTCATGTTTTGGTTTATGTTGATGATTTGATTATTGCCGAAGACGACGTAGAAATGATAAGCAAGTTCAAGGCTTATTTAGCAAATTGTTTTCATATGAAGGATTTGGGGGTTTTGAAATTCTTTCTTGGCATCGAGGTAGCACGTAGTACATCTGGAATTTTTCTCTGCCAACGAAAGTACGCCTTGGACATTATTACTGAAGCAGGTTTATTGGGTGCCAGGCCGTTGGGTAGCGGTGAGCATGGTACGGTATGGTACGGTATTTAGCCCGTACCGATACCGTACCAAATATTTCGGTTCAGTATGGGATTTTACACCGTACCGATCCCGATCCCGACATATCAGTTCGGTATGGTTCGGGATGGTTCGGTATCGGTTTCGGTACAAATCGGGATGAATATACATACCTACTTTACACCTTAAAGTTTAACAATGTCCCTTTATTTTTGAAAATTAAAAGTGAATTTAAATAAAAAAACGTGAAAAATTTAAAAAATGAATATTTAAATGCAAGGGATGCATATCAAAACATAGTTTATATTTCACAAACTAAAAAAATGAACGACAACAAAGAGTTTTTCGAATCTTTGTGAATACTTTTATGTTTATACACAAAAACTAAAACTCAAATAAAAGTATAACTTACACATGATAAAACTTCAACCAATTTTTTTTTAAAAATTACTCCGTATTATTTAGTGAAGGAATATGAAAAATATTACTCCGGGTTATTATTTTTTATAATATTTTAGTATATATGTTCGGTTCGGGATTTTCGGTATGGTACGTCACCTCGTACCGTTCCCAAATACCGTACCGACCATTCGGTTCGGTACAGTTCGGTTTCTTCTCGGTACTTTTTCGGTTCGGTATTTTTCGGTTCGGTATTCTCGGTTTTTTCGGGAAATTTCGGTATCGGTTCGGTACTTGCTCACCCCTACCGTTGGGTGCACCGATGGAGCCAAATCATCATTTGGCTCGTTCCCAGGCTCCAGTTCTTGAAGACCCAGAGCCATATCGACGGTTGGTAGGACGATTGGTCCATCTCTCGGTTACACGACCCGAACTTTCCTACGCAGTCCACACTTTAGCACAATTTTTGAAGGAACCAAAGGAGGATCAGTGGTCTGCTGCTCTTGGAGTTGTTCGTTATCTGAAGAGATGTCCTGGACAGGGCATTTTCCTCTCTGCAGACAGTAGCCTTCAACTCACAGGATGGTGTGATTCGGACTGGGCAGCATGTCCTTTGACGAGGCGGTCATTGACAAGGTGATTTGTGCAGCTTGGAGACTCGCCTGTCTCATGGAAAACAAAGAAGTAGTCGACGGTTGCTCGCTCGTCTGCTGAAGCAGAGTATAGAGCTTTGCATATCCTTACTTTTGAGTTGAAGTGGTTGAAGAATATATTGTGGTGTTTAGGGGTTGAGCATAAGAACCCCATGACGGTCCGGTGTGACAGCACGGCGGCACTTCACATTGCTGCTAATCCAGTTTTTCACGAACGCACGAAGCACATTGAGATTGACTGTCACTTCGTTCATGATGAGCTCTTGCGAGGAGAGATTCATACACCCCATGTGCCTACTACGCATCAGCTTGCAGACATTCATACGAAGGCACTCGGGAAGTCACGTTTGGAGTTTCTTCTTCCCAAGTTGGGCATTTCGTTATTACATGCTCTAACTTGAGGGGGGTGTTAAAGGAAAGAGAATATTCGTATATATTTTGGTATATATTGTTTTTGGTAGCTTCCTTGTATAGGGTTGATTTCGTTTCCTTTTGTGATTAGGTTTCTCAACCTGTGAGAGCCTATATATACATGTCTACTTTGTAAATTGAAGACAAGAAATACAGAGAGAATTTCCTCCCAATTCATTATTCTTTCAATCTTCGATCTAGTATCTTATGCATAGGCCTGACTTCAATTTACAAGAAAGATTTACCATCTTTTCTTGTGGTATTATCTTTGCTCGACATCTACAAAGTCCAAAGAACATATTTGAATTAAATCTCTATCATATAAAAATTAAGCAAAAAGATTGATACCCAAATATAAATAGAGACATCAAAGATTACGAATACAACGCTTGTATATATATAGTTTGGAAAATCAGCCTTATCTTTCTCATAAATGTTCATTTTGTTTTCAACAAATTCAATCAAAACTCCTGATTCAGAATTATAAGGTGTTCTTAAGTTGCTTGTTAACACACACGAGTTAGTTGGGGTGTTTTCAGACAAATCAATCTCATGCAAAGCCAATTCCTTCACCCTTGAAATATGATTTTTGAGCTTCAACATGCTAGTCATGATCAGGAAACAACAAATTAGTTTGCTGGTGTTGGTATTTCCCTTGAAGGAATGGTAAGTGAGGGAAGTCAGGGTATCTGCTTCCCCCGCCCTTTCCAAATCCGTTAGACAGGTCACAGGTGCATGCTTCAAGGCCTACTACAAAAGGGAAAGCTCAAATACCAAGCAAAGCACGACTAGCTTTCAATTTAGTCTCCAGCAAGCATAGAACATCAAAGTCTTCTCTTTGTGTAGTCACTAAGCCCCAAGTTTGATCGTGAAAATGAGGTTTAAGAAAATGAACTAAGCAGCTTTTGAGTTTTTGTATGGGTGTAAAAATCCTTAACTACAGACAAGAGCTTTCTGGCATCAACAAATTCCAAGAAAATGAAGTAAAGAGCTTTTGGGTGTTTGTATGGGTGTAAAAACCAGCATTCTAATCAATTTGGTTCTTAACTACTGCCATTCTTTTAATCTCTTTTAAAATTTGATATCAAATGCCAAAGTTTAGTTCAAGTTAAACTCAGAAAACTGAACACAATGACTGTAAAAATCAGCATTCAAAAACCAGAAAACTGAACACTGAAAATTTGGTAGAAAACTCTTGTTTATACAACTGGTCATATTTGATTTTTTTATTTCTTTCTAATTCTTTTTAGTTAATACAACTGGGTCGAGTTTTGTAGTAGAGACAAAAAAAATCTTCTAATACAACTAAACCACTAAAAAGTAAGAAAGTATATGCTTCTGCTAGCACATTATCAACTTTTATTGAGGCTAATAGCTTACACTGGTGAAGACTAGATTCTTGACCCCCCCCACCCCCAATCGCACAGACCCCAACGGAGTTGGGGTTATACTGAGTTTTTTGTTTTTAGTAAAATTTGAGTACATATTTCAAAATACCTATAAAAATTTTTGAAGGAACTCAATGAAGTGTTGTTTAGACACAAACTACTCAACCTTGTTCCGTTATGTAAATTTTTATTTTATGAAGCAGCATCAACCATTTTAAATCCTTGACATCTAATGATAGTGTACAATCATTTCATTATTTATTGTTAAATGGTGAGATATAATGTGGACAACAACACATTAAAGTAAACTATCACAAGTCGAGTTTTGGGAGAGTGGGTTGGGTAGGTGGATGAGAATCTTAACCCTACCTATAGAGATTGAGAAGATGTTTCCTATAGGCCCCTGGCAGGGATTCTTTTTGGGCAGGCATGACCTGTGATTAAGATGACAGTAAGGGTTTCTTTTTTAAGCTTTGCTTTTGATGCTTAAAGCGTAGGTCATGAAATTTATCCTTGGGTTTAATAAAATTCTAGTCCTTTTCCAGATCATACATTATGTTGTTGGGAGTTTAGTTCTTGATTAGGTTTTTTTGATTGGATATGGTATTGGACAAAAACTTGTGAAAAAACAGAATGCCAGGGCAGCGGCGAGGCTGTTTCTTTAGCTGATCAGGATGTTCCAACTGATCCTTGTGGTGGACAAAAGGAAGAAACCCAAGTCTAAAAACAAGCCAATGTAAAGTTAAGACTCATGGGTTGTAAGGGCAAAGGTAAAAAGGCCAATGACAACCAAGTCATGCCAACCCTTGACAGCCAACCTTTGGAGGCTAACTGTGGTGATGTGTAGGTTGGTCCCTCGGGTGGTAGCCCAGTTTCTCCTGGCAAGCAGCTTGGGCATAGAAACACTAACATATAGTCATATAAAAAACAGGTTTAGGCACACCAACATAAAATTCAATTTTAAAAACCTGGAAAATTCACTTAGGAAATAAATTTAGAGCATTGAGATCTTGCCCTCATAGCGAGTTCAAAAGATCTTCAAATATGGTCTGAAACTCTATTAAATCATACAAGCTCCAAGAAGATCAAGCACAAACTTTTAAATGAACTTCAAGCTTTGTTGGACTGCCAGATTCTAGAGATACCATTGTTGTATTCGTACTTCCCACGCTAATAAGAACGAGATTTTATTTTGAGTATGTTTCAATTTAAATCTGGTACACCTAGAGTTGGCTAGCAAGAAAGACCAGTCCTTGCAAAAATTAATACACAAAACCCATAATCACCAGCCTTACTCACTAAAATAGCCTTAGACATCCTTTCTCCCTCTTTATGCACACTGGTATTTAACATAGCTGAAATAACAGGAACCCAAAATTTGATTCCTATTTTTAGAGGCAGTACATATTAAGTAATGAATTTTATTGAAACATCGCTCTAATTCTAAAAGCATAAAGTTACATCATCCACAAATTACACGCAGACACACGCACAGGTATTTCCTGGTTTCGAATTTCAGGAATTAATCAATTAGAAGCAAAATTAATCATAAAAGAAAATAAATACCTGAATGAATCGCAGGCCGAACGAATTGAATGGTAAGATGGAGGACTGATGCAGCCTGAATATCCTGGCCGATACCTAACTGAGATGTGCGCCAGAGAGATGCAGGCCGACGGAGATGTGCGCAGGAGAGTAAAACGAGATGAGAGCAGAAAGGTGCGACAGATCGATTAGGTTAAATGTCCGTCGGAGAGTAGAACGAGAAAGAGATTAGGTTTACAAGTATTGTTTGTTCTAGGAGACTAGCATCCCCTTTGCACGGCTCGTATTTAGGCTATCAATATATATTGGTGTCACTATTGAAGGAAAAGAAATACAGGATATTACTTACAATTTTCACAAAACTTCTTTATACACTAAATTATTGGTATAATTTGTGGTAACATCCTCTATGTCATATATCAAAATCTTCAAGTCATTATGACTTGTTACCTTTGAAACAACAATATATAGTTATCCATGACTAAATACAGGTTTCCATAACAATATTCCCACACGTTTTAGAGATTAACCTTGACTCTTATTAGTTGTCATTGCATATAAAATAACAAAATTAAATTGTCTTCTTTGAAACTTGAATGGAATTTTGGCATCAGATGGTGTCAATGATAGTCTTGAAATAACAATTTCTTAGCGCATGTGTCTTCTGGATAATATCTTTCCTTGTATTGAGTGATTATCCCACCGAGCTACATTCAAAAGGAACTCATGATTTGATACGGAGTAATTTTTATAATGATAAAAGAATATATTATTTTATATAAATTATTCTTATAGAAAATATTCTATTATTCTTTTATAATGATAATAATAATAATAATAATAATCATATTATTTTTATAAATAGTATTAATACCCCGTCATATCTCCATATATATCATTTTCCTAAAATAAGTTTAAAAACTATTTATTGTATGGAAGCACAAAAAATGGATATAACTCGGTTGATTATTTAAATTACCATTTTTAGATGTGTAGTTTTCACTAAAATATTTATTTCTTTAAATGAGTTATTTCCAGCCGTTGATCATCAAGAATGGACGGACCAAATTGTTGTGCCTTTGGGCGGGAAAAGAGGTGGGTGCTATTTCCCCTGCTTTTAAGTATAGGATTGATTGATTATTGTATGGAAGCACAAAAAATGGATATAACTCGGTTGATTATTTAAATTACCATTTTTAGATGTGTAGTTTTCACTAAAATATTTATTTCTTTAAATGAGTTATTTCCAGCCGTTGATCATCATGAATGGACGGACCAAATTGTTGTGCCTTTGGGCGGGAAAAGAGGTGGGTGCTATTTCCCCTGCTTTTAAGTATAGGATTGATTGATGAAGTATTTGGCAGGCGGAATGGAGGTGAGGATGAAAAGTTCGGCGCGNTTATTGTATGGAAGCACAAAAAATGGATATAACTCGGTTGATTATTTAAATTACCATTTTTAGATGTGTAGTTTTCACTAAAATATTTATTTCTTTAAATGAGTTATTTCCAGCCGTTGATCATCATGAATGGACGGACCAAATTGTTGTGCCTTTGGGCGGGAAAAGAGGTGGGTGCTATTTCCCCTGCTTTTAAGTATAGGATTGATTGATGAAGTATTTGGCAGGCGGAATGGAGGTGAGGATGAAAAGTTCGGCGCGATTAGTTTTTTTACTGAATTAGAAGAAGCGGGACATGATTTCTTTATGCGTGAGTAATTTTAGAATTTAAATTACTAAAGAGTAATTATTTTTATTAATAAGTTAAATGCATTTTCTTAAATTAAGTATATATAAATCATTTGGCACACTTATTAATGTGGGTACATGGAATTACGTATAACAACTCTTATAAATGTGGGGAATTGTTAAATGTTAAATTTTATTGCCACACTTAGTCAAGTGTGGCAAAATTAAATGCGGCTAAACTCTATTTTTCTTGTAGTGTGTATATCACTTTTAAATCTTATTCAGTGTTACTTGTGTCATTTGCTTACACCAGTTTGTTTGGAATACCTACGATGCCCCGTTTATGAAAATAACGGCTTCTACCACCCTAACCCTACCCCTAAATCCCCCACCCCAGCCCCCTCCCACCCCATCCCTACCATGTCAATATACTGCCATGGTAGGGAGGAGGGGGGGGGTTGGAGTGGGGGCAAGGGTGGGCTGGGGGGGCAAGGGTGGGGCTGGGGTGGGGGGTTTATGAGGAGGGTTAGAGGGTAGGAACCATCATTTTCACAAACGGGGTACCGTAGGTACCCCAAACAAACTGTTGTAAGCAAATGGTGTATAAGTAACTGGTGTCATTTTAGACGTTCCCTAATTAAAATCATTATTGAAGAACTGTCAATTAATTACTCCCTCCGTCCTAAAATTAACTTCTCATTTGACTTTTCACGGTCTCCAATGCGACACTTTGACCATGAATATCTCAATTTTTATAGAAATATATTTTATAAAAATTATATATTCTAAAACTATGTTTCAAAATGAATCTATTGTTAATAAATTTACATGAAAATTCAATGTACTACTTTTTCCGTAATTTATGGTCAAAGTTTAAAAAGTTTAACTACAAAAGTCAAACTGGGAAATTAATTTTAGGAGAGATGGAATATTAAACTTTGAGGATAGTAACATTTGGTTCCCATTAACATTGCATAAAGCAATAGTCACACAAGTTGACTTTTTGCCATTCTTCCCATTCTTAAATTCTTCTATATTTATACTCCATTCCTTCCTCAATTTTTTTTTCTTTTTCATCTGTTCTAAAAAATACTTCTTATTTCTATTAAAAAATAACTTTTATCCCTTACTTTTTCATACCCTACCTATTACATCATATCTCTTTACTAATAATCTACTCATCAAATCTTACTTTTATCTATCACATTAAAGGACAATTTTAGAAATTCAATACCAAAATATATTTTCCTTAAATCTTTTCAAAATCAAAACATCACATGTTTAAAGGGACGGAGGAAGTATGTTACTTGAATGTGTGATTAAAATTCCATCAACTTAAACTACTCCCTCCGTTTGCAAAAAGACTTCTCATTTTGATTTGGGATAAAAATAAGGAAGTGTTAAATTATTGTTGATTTCCAATTTTTCCCCTGATGTGATGGGTAAAAGTAAGATGTAATGGATAGATTATTAGAGAAAAAGTATGATGTGATAGGTAGGCAAAAGTAGTTTTTTAAAATTCAATCCATCAAAACATTCTTTATCCTATACAAATGTGACGTTTCATTACGTTTCTTTTACGAAATATGTATGGGTAAGAATGTAAGACCTTCATTTATAAGAAATACAAGGTATTATTAGGAAAAAGGATCAGAACCACATGCTTCATCACTCCCAATTGAGAAGCTTGCATTTTCATCTGTTTCCTGGATGGAGAGTACCCCAACCCCCCCTTGGGGCATTAGATAGATATTAAAGAGTATCCTACATCGGAACTTAAAGATGAAATAAATCGGTATATAAGTTTTTGAATGAACTAACTAATACTCCTTCCGTTTCTTAAAATCCTTCATCTTTCATTTTTTTTGTTTTCCTTAAAACACTTCTCTTTTCTATTAAAAATCCACTTTTACCCCTACTTTTTCATACCCTACCTATCACATCATATTTTTTCACTAACAACTAAACTATCACATCTTACTTTTACCCATCACATCAAAGGCAAAATTGGAAAGTCAACTACAATTTAACACATCCTTATTTTGTTCCCAAAGTCAAAAGAGGAAACGTTTTGAGAAACGGAGGGAGTAGATTGGATTCAATCTTTTAATGTGGTTCAACCCAATTGTCTTATTGCCCAATCCAGTTATCCTTACCCCATCCTAAATTCTATCATGGTATCAGATCAAGTTTTGACCCACCTCGTTTGTTAAGGTGTCCGTCTAGATGTTCATTCTTAGCGGCCCGTTAGTCTTTAGCCTAGTTGTCCGTATGGAGTATGTACCCAACGGCCTGTGGCCCGTTTAACACGATTGCTCATCTGGAAGTCCATACCCAGCAGCTCGTGGTCTTTTAGATGTTGGCGCTAAAAAAAATCAAGGGGATGAGAGTCCATTTGCAAGTAGTCAACCGGTTAGATTCAAAATGACCCGGTTATCTACTTGAGGGGGAGTGTTAAAGAGTACCCCACATCGGAACTTAAATAGAAACAAAACCGCTATATAAGCCCTTGAGTTGAACTAACTAATCGATTGGATTCAATCTTTTAATGTGGTTTAACTCAAGTATCTTATTGACCAATCCATTTGTTTATATCACATTCTAAGTTCTATCAATAGATCAACACCTAAACTTCCATTTGTAGTACAAAGACTTCATTGACAAATCACTATCAAGAACAACAGAGACAATAACTTCACTGGTCATTTCTTAGGGATCAGAAGTTTAGAACTTATTAGGTTATCATCTTCCAAGAAAACATGATTTCACAAATCAGATTTTAAGGGAACAATGCTTAATTCCACACACACACACAGTATGTCTCTGTGTGTGTAACAACTAACAAAAATGCTTTCATGAGGGATGTACAAGTACAACTAAGTAAACTAACAAATAATAATAGTCATCGACGAAATTAATAAACACATCTTTCCCATAATCCCATGCATACCACAATATCCCAAATAATGAAATGTCCAAGTTATTTACAAATAGTTAATGTATTATCTTTCATATGTACGTGCGTGTATAAAATTTATGTATTCTATCAATATACATTGTGATAGAACAACTTTAATAATAATTCACTTATTTATTTAATTTGACTTTTATTTTTTAATATAACAATAACAATTTTATAGATAATATCATATTTATAAAAGTATGCAAGCCTCTCAAGGGGTAAAAACTAGTTATATATACTAATTATGGAAGTACAAACTATTGTACTCCCTCCATTCCGTAAATTACTTTATGTTTTTTACTTTTTTAGTCAAATAGTGACATCTTTAACCATAAATTGTCAAAAATTATTTTTAACTATGAAGTAAATATAATATAATTATTTCATGTTAGGATATAATTTCTATAATTCAAAATTATCAATCTTTATTTAAAATTTTTAGTAATTTGTAGTTAAAAAGTGTCACCGTTTGAAAAAATATCAAAACAAGAATAAAATTTATTGGAGGGAGGAAGTATATTTTTATATTTTTATAATAGTACAAATGACTTTAATGTTGCATTGATGCGTAACTAACCCTGTCAATTATACATACTAATTTAATCACACTTGCAATTAAATGGTGCGTA